CTTATAACAATATTTAAAGGTAAACGGACAAATATGAAAATTACAGTTTGATTAGGTTCGCTAATTTCGAAAAATGCGCAAATTCAGTACCCCTGAAACTGAGAATATACGCTCTTGGGACAGTGGGAGGTACACGTACTGCTGAAAATATAAGCGCTTGGGGCTGGAAGGGTTAAAAATATTCTAGGAAGCCATGATGGCACAGAGGAGCACAAACTGAACAAACATTATCTAACTCTGGGTTTTATCAGAGAGGTCACAGAAACCCCCCCCCCCCAAAAAAAAAAAACTAGAGGCGAGGCTTATTATCAATACATGTACCACCATGATTGTATTCGCTCTCTAGTTCCTTTTTAAAAAGTATTTCACACATCAAGGGACACAACCGGTAAAACTAAAATGACAGAGTTCATGCAGTTGTGTCCCTTGAATACTTAATAGAGCTTCGTCTCACTTCATACTTCACAATTTCGTGTCAAGTAATCCGTGCGTGCTTACTAAGTGTTCACAACTTCGTGTATCACAGCAAGAGCAACTGATGTAAACAAAATTGGAAAAGAAATAAAAAGCAAAATTCAGAGAAAAATGAATCTTGATAATCAGATCTTGGATAGTCTACAGCAGAACGATATGCTGACAAAATGTTTATAATATAAATGTCCACAAGTTGTATACACCGTTGCCAGCCCAGCAGCGTACTAAAAATACACACCTTTCTCACTGGTCGTTTGTAGGTCTGTCCACCCGTCTGTGTGAGTGTCTGTCTGTCTGTCTATCTGTCTGTTTGACCATCTATTCGTATGCCAATACCTCTGTCCGTCCGTCTCTCTCTTAGTCAGTCTCTCAGCCCACCGCCTCCCCCTCTCTCACTCTCTCTTTCTCTCTCCATCCATCTCACACTCATAAACACACATACAAAATACATACACGCATACGCACAAAAAACACTCACTCTCCTCACTCCGTCCCTTTTTCTTAAAGGTAAAACAACAAGCCAAAAACACCAAACAACAACGTTACAGCCACAGATATGGTAAACCTTCCAATCTTTCCTTTCCACCCGTGACAAGCTGTGTTACTGCGTAAAACATACTAAAATGTACAGAAACAAGCAGCATCAAGGCTTAGGGCCGGACGACCGCAAACGCATCACAGTGCCAGTATCTAAACAATTTTTCCCATGAGTAACCATCACACAGTAGTGGTTCCAACAAAAGAAAACAACTGAATATATTCATACATGCATACATATATAATATGTATATATTATTCATTTCATTATATGGAAGTTAACTCATGTCTAGTCACATCAAAGGATCATTATCACTTTTTAAGACAATACATACTAGACAGACCCTCTATTGGCCCACAATAAAAGTTTTAAAAACACAAGGAAAAGATAGGCAGTCATCTGGACAACAAAAGAACACAGAAAGACCCTTTATCTTTTTTGATCATATTAAACAAAATACAATACATAATCACTTGTAAATGCACTGCGTATCACTGATAACGGTCATGTCACAAACAAAGCAAAACTGTATCATGGGAAGACAATTGTGATTTATCCTTCAGTCCAGCAAATACTGAACAATGGGCCATATTCACAGTCCATTCACATTGGTGTTCTGGTAACGAAACCACAACTATGACAAAATTGTTCTTAACCTGTAATTTAATTTCTACTGTTGGCATTTCTGTGTACACAAAAAAGAGATGCACCTTTTAATGATTCACATCTCCATTGATGCAATGAAAATGGTGAAGGGGGCTGGGTACTTCTACATCTACCTTGCCCGTACATGTTAATAAACTCAGTTCAATAACATTTAATGTTGCTGGATCGACTCCGTTCTAAACACCATCAAAGCTAAGAACTTGATCCCCTCCAATGTCCCTGCCACTTGACTTGCAGCTGTCAATGTTTTCATTTGGTCGGGGGCCTATTGCAGTGCCATGCAAAGTTACGTGCACATTGGCAGATAATAAATGAGCTAGATTTTTTTCCAATTTATACATTTTTCAACGCCATCATTTGGAAGTGAACAATCTAAAACACGTCCACATAGAATCATGAAGAGGTCTCTCTGAGAACAACAAATTTCAAGTACCAGCACAGATGAACATTACTTTAGCATAGAGAATTGTCTCTTCAACCAGCAAAAGAACTTGTCTGTGTTGCTGTGGCAACTATAACACTTTCTAAAAGCGTCACAATTAATACCCCCCCCCCAAAAAAAATATTGGGGTAAACTTAAGAGCAGCAAAGATAATTTATAACCACACGCATCTTATAAGTTATATATTCACACCGCAGGTCTAGAGGGAAACTATTCTAAGTGACATGTCGGCCGAAATGGAGAATTTTCATTGGCCTTGACTTCCACCAAGGGACGCAACTAGTACTGTATTAAGACATCAGAGCCGTAGCTTTAAAAGTGACTGGGTAGCCCAAAGAAAATTTTATTCTATCTCCTACTTAATAAAACATTTTGAGGAAAAGCATTATATTATATGTGGCAGTTAAAATACTTTTCATACTCCAAAAAATTGCAACCGCGCACCGGTGGTAGGAAATGAAGAAAACTACATACTTTTCTTTCATATGACTCTGCCAACAAAAAACGAAATTATTCTAAGTACCACTTCAGAATAGTTTTCTTTACATTTTTGTTCGGAAAAAGGTATTTTAAGTGACACTTTATTTGATTTAACAAGAATGGAAGAAACTGATTAGAAAACTATTTACAAAATGAGCCCGAGATTGTTTTGTTTTCTCTTAACTAAATTTACATGTTAGTTCTGGGTCCTAAAACTGTGTTCTGTTGAAATGAGAAAGTTTTTTCCTTCTCTTGTAAAATTTACAAAATGTCACTAAGAATAGTTTTCTTCTAGACCCCCGATACATTTCTTCTTTAACTAGCTGACCTTTACGCAACTTCTTGGATATACACACATTTCTTCTTTAAGAAGGTCTTTATGCACCAACACAGATATCACAAGGCAAGAACTCATGACCTGCAAAAACAGCCTCAGACCGGTTTAGACAAAGTTTTCAATAGGAAGAACCTCTTAAGAGATTAGGCTACTGGAATCCTAATTGTGAGGTTGCGGGTTTGGAGGTTCGAGCCGCGGGCCCGACGTCGTGTCCTTGGGAAAGGCACTTGACACTTTACACAAATTGACCTCACTTCATCCAAGTGGGAATGGGTACCCGACCACACACAGCGAAAGATCTTGTCAGTATATCGGATGCTTCCCAGGAGGTTGACATTGTTTCAGAATGTTCTCAGGTCTGCTGGGGTAATAGTATAGATTGTCACGTGAAGCGCATAGCGCTTGCTGTTGAGCGGGGATTCGCGCTATACAAATAGTATAGATTGTCACGTGAAGCGCATAGCGGTTGCTGTTGAGCGGGGATACGCGCTATACAAATGCTATCTATTATTATTATTATTATCATTATTATTATTATTA